GGGAACGTGTTTAACTGTCGAACTGGCCAACCCTCGCCAACCCTGCAGTTAAGCACTTAAATACTTTTAAGTGCACGAACATTTCTAAGCGCGTTAATTTAACACCATTTGGGCAGTTTTCATGCCTAATTCTATGGATTACCCGTTTTGTCCTAGTTTTGTCGCCTACGGTCTAGTAAATTAACCTAAAAGAAACAATCCACCAGAAACAATCGACCGGGCGAACCCTATCGCTGACCACGGCTCCTAACAGCCCCGTCCAAGTAGGCAACCCGCCGGCACTCGTGCATACGGTACAGTATAAGTACGAAAGTGCGCGCCTTGAGGAATCCACCTGGTGCAAGTATATTGAACACGGTGACACGACACCCTATTGAACGCTCCAGACATCAGTGCAAGTATGCACTTGGCACAGTATAACCGAAACTAAAAGAGAACGTGAGTTTAGGACACCCTTTATCTGTACAAAAAATGTCGTTTATTTCAAACACGTGAAAAAATTGCCATGGATGGCATTCATTTCTGCTATGTGCAGGCCAGAGATAGCGAACCGTTTTGTTTGTTCTGTTAACAAGATGTGGACTATTAGATGGAATTAATCCAAGAGAGACAGAGGAGGGGCTAGGGAGGGAGAGGAAGAGTGAGGGAGAGAAGGGAGTGAGATGGTGAGAGAATGGGAGGCACCCCTATTCTGCCACTCTGCTACGCGCCGCCACGCCCCCGGCAGGACAGCCCCTGTCGCTGCGGAACCCAGATAGGAGGCAATTTGAGCCGCCACAGGAAGGGTTGGGGAGGGAGGCTGCCTGCCTGGTGCGGGAGGGAGAGGGAGAGAGGGACAAACAGGGACCGTGACGCTGGAGAAAGAGAGACAAACACACGGACCTTCCCAGATTGGGAGGGGTGCGATGTGGTCTGCTACTACTTGTTCACAAACACGATCATGTGGCTCTGTCCCCAGTATCACCCAAATCTCTCTCTCTCTCTCTCTCTCACACACACACACACACACACACTTTTACTTCTCTCTGCCTTTTTTTACCTGCCCCCCCCCCCCCTCGCTCTCTGAATTCACGGCAACTTTGTAACATCTAACATTTTCTTTCCTTTGTCATAAAATCGATGTGCGGCTGCATTGTAGAATCCTCTGAGGGCAATCTGGCTTGAGTATATACTCACCCCATGATTTAGAAAACCCCACGATAACCCACATCGTGATCTCCCCTTGTCAGGGGCGTACTCGGATGTGTTGGTTCTTTAGACCATACCGGACCGGCCCCACATTGCGTCGGGGTACAATAGCTTCGTTCCTACTGCTACAATAATGATGAGTTTAAGAACATTGACAAGAAGGAAAAGTAATTAGTAAGGTTGATTTTGGCGTAAATTTGTGTTTCTTAAACTTCTAGACTTTTCCCTGACCTTTTCCTGTAATTTTGGGAAAGCGCTGGGCAAGAGAAGTGGGCAATCATATGGTAACTTATTGTTTATTTTAATCCGTTTTCATCAATAGTACTGAATTTTATGTTACATGACGTAATTTAGATTATGTCCCGTATAATTGACCTCACATGCCAAAATCTGAAAGAGCAAGGGAAATGTATGAATGCGTAGCATGAAACGAAGCGAGCCAAGACAATATTTCGCATAACAATCAAACTAATGAAAGAAGCACAATTGTTATAAGCAGGTATCACTGAAGTTACTCTATGCTTTAGTTTTGAATGATAATTGAACATAATGAAGGAACCTGAAAGCAAAGCAAGCGAGAAGCTAGATCCAAACCTGTATCACACCACACCTAAATTTTTAGGATGTGGGTTGACGGGTGATGGGCTTTTTAGGTCCTAGAGGGGCTCCAAACCATTGTCAAGGGGGAAAAGGGGTGGTGGGGGCTAACTGGTTTCCTTTTTTCCGGCGGACAAGTCACACCCCTGCATCAAAATCTACAATGATTTTCGGTAGTCTTCAGTTGGGTTGATCCGAAAACCTTAATTTGCCTACACTCAGGTTGAAAGGAGTGTGTTTTGCCAAATTTCAGGTGTTTTATGTCAAAAGTCCGAATATTACCCAGGTAGCTAGTAATCTTGGCAACTGGTGTACACTCTATAAGACAGTTAAGACCCTCTTGGAAATCTCTTACTCTCTTTGGATTCCTGGATTCGCTCGCCGTCGTCCCGGACCCGCCAGCATCAATGAACCCATTCGCGTGGTACTTACATACCCACGTTTGTGCGTGTGACTCCGTATGTGCTTGTGTGTGTGTGTGTGTGTGTTTGTGTGCGTGCGCGTGTGTTATTCTGCTAACAAGCCTTGCATAGCAGCTCTGCACGCACTCAGGCGCCGCTGTTACCACCCTTATTACTGGTACTACTATTATACTACCTATTAAAATATTTCAGTCATGATTGTTTCCCTCAGGGGGTTGATAATGGTTATCTCGTCCAGTTTACAGCTTCGCTCTGATGTTATTGGGTGATCACCAAAATGAAACGGCAAAATAAAATGTCCGTAAAATTTCCTCCAAAATATCTCGGCGTGTCTGGAGCGCGTTAATAATGAAGACTTCTCACCGAGCTTTACCAGCGTGTTCCCCTGCAGCAAGCGCTGCTCTGCTCCTCGTCCTCAGCCCGCCCGCTCTCCTAACATTCTTCTCCCTTTTAATTATTCAAATTGAAAAAGTTAATTGGCTGGAAAAGGAATTAAGCGGAATAACGTGTCTCCGACTTGGGGGTGGTAGCAGTGTGTGCGGACGCGGGGCGGTGGGGCGGCGAGGAATGTCCCCCGGCATTTCAGTTTATTATCGACGCCAACGTGAGACAATCTGTGATGCAAGGAGGAGCCGGGCTGGAAGCCTGGAGCGGCCGACAGCTTGGACTGAATGGCAAGTGTGTCGACGGACTCATCGGATGAGACGCACTCGCCCTGGAGATGAGGAGCAGTCAAAGAGAAGTTGGTGGACGTGTTTTGTATTTTTTATCTTGCCTTGCTTCCTTTCCCCCCCTCAGCCATAAAGGGCGCGACACCAGTGCCTCCTTCCGGAGATGAAGTGAAAGTGTTTGCCCGGCTGGTCCGGCGCACCGGCGGCCCGAGCACGTTGTCCAAGATTGGCCTCATTTGTTGGCGTGAACAAGAAGAGCAAAGTTTCTGGTAAAGCCCGCAGTGGCGGTGTGCTGCTGCTGCTGCTGCCGCTGCCGCTGTCCCGTTGGGAGGGGTAAGGCCCGTACTATTTGAAGTTGCCTGTGGAGCGGGTTTTTACAGTTCAGCACGTGCAGCGTGGGCCTCCAGCGGCGAGCCAGACCGCCGCGCCATCCCTCGGCGACGCCTTGAACTTCGGAGGAAAACAACGTGATCGTCTCTGCCTCGCCTCGTCTGCCCGCTGCTCCGATGTGACTTTGCGTCTCCCCTTTCTGTTCGAATACCTCACTGTCACGGCCACACTCGGATGAGGAAGATGAAGAGGTGATAAACGGACCACATATTCGCGCTGTTCGAACGTTGTGAAGATTTCTAAACTGCACCTCCTCCACTCGGAGGACCCGGCATGATGCCGCTAGAGCTCCGCGAACTGAGCGGTCCGTAGTGGGGGGACTGCATTATTCATTTGCTGCCAATTAGACTGCGGGGGGCTTTGGCGATCATCCGGCATAAGTTACCTGCCTTGTGCCTGTGCCCCGCGCATCCGCGGGCATTTCCTGTGCAACAGCGACGCCATACGTGCCTGGCGATTGATTTTTGCGTGTTTTTTAAAATTATTTTTGTGAGCTTAATGAAGATGCGGCCTGATGTGGTATCGCCGTTGAAGTTTTAATGAAGGGGGTTGCAGGGTGATGTGTGCGCCTCAAAAGCAAGTCAAAAGCATTTGGTGTGCCCGTGGTGGACACAGAAGAGGCACAAGAGCGGAAGACACGAAGCGAACGACTTGACTGCTTTCTCCTTGTTTTTAATAAAATATCCTCTCGGTGAAAGGGGGATGCGACGTGCAAAGCGAAGGAAACGGGGAAGGTAAAAAAAGGGTGTGTCGCATGTTGGTGTAACAATTAGAAGCCTTGACGTGTGAGCGGCCGGCCCTTAGGGTCGTCCTGACAGCTCAATGGCCTCGCCTCGCGAAGGAGACAACGAGGAGGGAAATCGACTGCCCCCTCCCCCCTTTTTCCTCTTTTCGCTCCCGAACTCTGACTTCTTCGTTTTTGTGAGTCTGCTCGACGACGAAAATCCTGCATTCGGTGGTGGATCCCTCGTGAGCTAAGCGAGGTCCCTCTCTTTTTTGACATCACACACATATATTTATACCTCTATACAAGGCTTGGAGCTGACACAGAAATTGGGCAAACAGAAGTGCGTAAGAGCAGCCTGGAGCCTGTAATCGAACAGCGTGCGCGAACAGCTGGAGGAGAGATATGACGCAACTTTTCGGGGAGTGCGGATGGCGCGAAAAGGAAAGTCAAACGGGAAACAGAAGAGGGAAAAGAAGAAGAACAATGAGGCCTAATTGCGGCAGAGGAGGAGGAGGAAAAGAAGCGCGGTTGTGGGCCAGCAAGCTAGCCGGGGTCAAGGTCAGCGCTAGAGCTGTGCTGCGCTGCGTGTCCGCACCTCGCCGGATTGCTCACGCCACTTTGGGACGCTTCGATTCACAGGAGGAACTGGCCGTCCCGACGAGACCCCGTCGTGCTTATGGGCTCAGCAGCCTCCACGGTGCGTGGGCCAAGATGGACCTACTACATGGCCGACCGCCAGCCCTTCAGGAACACAACAACCCGCCGTTAACCATGAAACCTTCCGGAAATGAAATACTTCCAAGTTTTAAATTTGGGCAGCGCTACTTCTGGTGGGCCTGGCTGCTGGTCCCGCCGCCGCGCCGCCACACCGCTCCTCCACCAAAATGGCCGCCACCTGTCCCTGGCTGGCCCTCCGGTCCCCTCCGGCCCCTCCCCCTCACGGCCCTTGTGCGGAGCCGGGCCGTGCCGAGCCGCCCCGAGCGGAGGAGAGCGCAGCCCGCGCAACCAGGCTGGGCCGCCGAGCCCAGCCGAGCCCTTCCGAGAAGCCCCCCGGTCGCGGACGCAAGGCGCCGCGCCGCCAGCTGAGGCTGATATATTTTTATTCATGGACTCCAAAGAAGAGGTATGTGAGCATAAGGGACGGACACGAAAAACCGCCAGGTGCATCAGTATTCTCGGCAAGCAGAGAGCAGAGATAGCCAGGCCAAATTTGACGCATTCATCACTGCTTTTCTGGACTGGAGAATAGTTTCCTGCCAGGGTCGTGTTATTGAAAAGAGGCCGTCGGAGACAGAGGGAGCAAAAGAGCTTGTGCCCGCTGTCTTCTGCGGGTCCTGCGGGCAGCGTCACGCAGCGTGCGCGTGCGGCTGGCCAGCACCCCACCTGGCCGCCTCGCCCCGCCACCCGGCCGGCACCCCGCCTCGCGCCCGCCCGCCGCACCTAGTGCCGCTGTGGTCACAAAAGCTGTGAACACGTCTCGGACACGCAAGCGGCACAATAGGCCGCGCGCAACATGTGCTACACTGCCGCAACAAATACGGGGACATTTCTGATTCCAGTTCCGTCGAGGAAACTACTACAACGAAACAAGTCGTGGCGGTGACGGTTTGGTGGTTTGATTGTGTCCAGCCCAGCCAACCGCCTGGTCTGCTTCGCGTCCTCCGCCACCCGGTTCTTTCGATAAGGCTACCATATGCCTCTTACTATGCAGGAATGTTACGGCCCTTTTGCGTGCTGAGCCGCCACCGCGTATACCTTTGGAATCGACGACATTTTTTCCTTTCTTTACGGGCCTCAGGCCTGCGTTTCAAGGGCTTTGTTGTTTCTACTGCTGGGCCCAATATATATTCATACGCAGTGGTCCCCTGCCGAAAACCTTGCTGTGGCTGGTCGTGTTTACGGCTAATCGAAACGGCCGCTGCTGATGATATTGCGACAGATAAACATTCTTTATCTGTGGCTTTGTGGTCCCACCGAGCTGATTTGCCTGTCACACAGAGCGGCCACATCCTCTGCGGTGAAGGCGTCCAGCCTTCCTTTGCACGGGCCCTACGTCTCAACGGGCTCATCATGGGGAACCCCTTTCCACGACCTCAGCCGAGCTGACCTCGCCAGAACCGACCGCCACCACCCAACACAACTCTCCGCGCTTGGAACACCCCTGGACTTGGGATACATTAAGGTTTCGCCAAGCTTCAAGTCTAGATTACCTCTACAAAGTGCGAAGTCGAAGCAGTCGAAGGTTCAACTTACGATATGTCACCACCAGAACATCTTCAGGAACTTTTGCAAGTAAAGTATTTGAAACTTCTCCGAGGAACAGTAAAACGAAAGATGGAAAATGAAAAGTAAATAATCAGGATAGTTCAGAGATCGACTCGTCTTTAACAGAGTCCCTCTTTTGGACTGTGTATGTACTGACAAGTTTACAGCAATCGAATTAAGTACAACTTAAAATTGTTTAACTTGCAGTCTTACACGTAGTTCCTAGCTAATAACTTGATCTGCCTGGATAACGATACCAAGTTTTAAAAAGTTCTAAAGGCTGAAAATATTAATAACATGTGTAAACAACGAAAAATAGCTTGTATATACCAAGGTTCTCCTTAAAGTTAAAAGTTTTTCATAGGAACTAATTTTATACGAAACAAGTTCAAATATTTTCGAAGAAAGGTGTTTTTATAGTGGAACTTGGGCAGCCAAGCCAGTAAGTACTCAGCACTTGTTCGCAGGTCACCGAGTCCAATCAGTGTACTTTTGGACGCCACCGTCCATCACCACCCAACGCAGCACACCCTCTCATCTCTCCCCGGCCACGGCGACCAGCATCACCGACACACGGCCACAACACGCATTGTTTCGGCTCGCCACGCCGCATCAAGCGCCTGTCTGTCGCCCGCCTGCCAAAAATGATACAGTCGGCCTCCCGGGAACTGAGCGGTCTGTTCGGCCGGCTGGCCTGCCGACCCACAGCCGCAGGTTGCGGGTGTGGTGCGTTTTTCGCACGAAAACGGGTTTTTTCCGTATTTCAACACTCAGAGATCCCTTTACTCTCTGAGTGTCAGAACAAAATATAAAGGCTAGCGTAGGAAACACAGTTATAAGGTAGTGACACCAACTACGTAAACTTGATTCACCCCAACAAAATAAAGAGAAAGATTAAAACAAAATGAAGTTTTGAATTAAACATTACAGCGTGGACGTAATTCGGTAAACGCTGTCGGGAGTCAATAATGGTTGCTGTGTTGTTCCCCCAACTGTTTTCTAGATGAACGCACTGCGACCGTACTGCTGTCGTCCGGTGACTCGGTCCCCTGGCTCATCACACGTGCCTGACTGCGTGCTGCGCTATTTGCTGTACTTCCCGCCACGACACGCCGCTCCTTGTTTGGACCGCGGCGCGGACGGACGCGGGGCGGGGCAAGCTCCATCAGAGAGATTGGACGGGAACACGCCGCTCTTCAACCCCAAGCGGATGCGTCCGTATTCACCCTCCGCGCATTCACCACCTTCTGCTCGAAAAGCCCACGCAATAAATAAAACAAACGGATTGTTATTCCGATAAAGGTCGCTGCTTTCAGTACGTAAATCACTATGGTGGTTTGGTAGTATGCTAAAAAAATGTGCGTTCGTCTGTGCATCGAAAACCTTAATAAGCTAAAAAAGCTAATGCATTCGCTAATTTAGGCCTCAGCTCAAAATGTCAGCCCGCTAAGCTATTACCTCAGCAGAGAGCTGAGATATTAGCCTTAAAAAAAACAGCTAGTTCCCAATTCTCTGAGCTAACAATCAGCTAAAGCCAAATAAGCGAATGAATTAGCTAGATTAGCTAATTGCTTTTCCTCCGTGTGAGGCTGAACTTATACGCCCTCCCGGCACGCGTCTCCGAGCCATCCAGCAGTGCTGCGCCGTGCCGCCCGCGTCGCGACGCGTTCGAAACATTTTCCGCTTCGACAGAGCAGAACGGCGGCGGAGCGTTGCTCGACGCCATCGGAGCCGAGTCGGTCGAGTCGAGCCGAGCCGGGCGCAGCTGTTATGATAATGTGTCAATCCGCCCCGATCATGTTGTGCGCATGCTCGCGCGGAGCCCCTAGGCCTCCGCGATGATGACGCACTGTTAATTGCTTACGAACTATAGGTTCGTAATGCAAACCAAAACGTTCGTAGCTTACGAAGGATTTTCAAGCGTTGTATTACGAACTAATTGTTCGTAAGCTTACGAACAATTAGTTCGTAATGCAAACCGATTGTTCGTAAGACCCTTCTAGCCTTACAAACAATCGCTTTGCAATACGAACAATTTCTTTGCAATACAAAGAACGAAAATTGTTCGTAACGTTGCAAAGTATTTAGTTCGTAAGCTTTTTACAGTGCGGTCATGATAATAATAATAGTAATAATAATCCCCCCTGCGCCGGCCGGGGCGTTTTGCGTACCGCGACACGGCGTCGGTAATAACTCTGTTTATAATATGGCACGGCGCCACGGCGGCATGTGGGTAATTATTATTATGAAAGTGCCGCGAGCGCGAAAGGAGGGGGGCAGGGAAGGGGGTACCTGACGCCGTCGTCATGTCGTGGTGAAGGCATTAGATGTTTTTTGAACATTCGACCAGTTTCGCGTTGAAGATTCGCGGTGAATGATTACGCCGACCTATGCAAGCCCGGCAAGTCGTAAGGCAGTACATATATAAGGGTACGGAGCGAAGTAGCTTATACCTTAGATTTCTCATCGACGAAGTTGATTTTGTGTTTTAAAGTGTAGGTAAAGGGTGACTTTTATCTTCACCCATGGGTGACTGCAGTCGGACGTTATCGTTGCAGTCGAACGTTATCGTATCCCCCACAGGCGCGGTATAAGGGGTGGCGACAGGGGGGGATGGGCTGTGGGTTGCCTACATACAGGGCTTTTGTAGCACAGATGGATTAGATACGATGTGCCCCCCCCCCCTTATACCGCGCCTGAACTGCAATTCTAGCGGGCGCGTGGCGGGGGCGTGGTGCTGTCAATGACGACGTCAACATTTCTCCGAGTGCCCTTGGAAAATTGTGATCCACCGACAAGTAGGAGAAAATTTAGCACCCCTTTAGCTGCGAAATTTTCATGTCTTTCGTTCAAGCAAGTTTTCCTTTCTCAGCATTTTTCTTTTCATGCTCAAATCACCGAACCGGTGCTTTGCTGGCCACACCTCCCCGCCCTGCGCTGCACTAGACCGCACCGCAGGCCGCAGGGGGGTACGGGGACGCCTGCCCCGCCGTGTGGGGATGTCTGCTCTCCAGTGCAGAGGCGCGCGCGCACGCTGTGCTGGTACATTTTCCTCCAACCTTTCTCACTCCCTCGCCATGCGCCCGGGCACAACAAGCAGAGGAAGAAAGAGAGAGAGAGACTGAGGCGCGGACGCCACCGCGGGCTGTCAGCACTGCCTGTCAACATGAAATAGAGCCAGTCGCGCGCTGATTTATCTGGGCCGCGTTCCGGCCGCCTCCCGACCTCCTCGCCGCTCTCCGATTTGGATCACACAGTCACGCCTCGTATTCGAACGCACCCCCGCCGGCCGGTCCGATCGAACGGGGCGCTCCGCTCAGCGCGGTCAGCGGGCCGGCCGGGGGAGGCCAAGTAAAAAGATTTCGGGCGGAAAATGCATGCCCGTTGGTCTACACACGTCTACGATCCATGTTGAATACATGTATGTATCAAGTGTGTTGTGTAAAAAACAAGTTTTCAGCAGCTTGGGGATGGACTCTAGCCGAACCAAAGCCAAAGCATGAAGAAACGTTGGATGAGTGTCAATAGGGCAATTCTGCGATGTGGAACAAGAGTTATAGTAGAGGGAGAGTGGGGGAGAGAGGGGAAATGGGAAAGGGGAGAGGGGGTATGGGGAGACGCGGGCAGTCAGTCGATTATGATATTAAGAGGCGGGCTGGGCGGAGCTGGTATGTGGCTTACCCCCCCCCCCCCTCTCTCCGCACCGCTGAGCTCATGGCCGCGCGCACAGCCCCGCCACATACACTCTTCGCCGTGTTGTACAAACGAAAATAAGGCGCGCACGCACACACAGACACTCTCACTCACACACATGCACACACTCGATGGCAATCACGTAAAAAGGCTGCCGCAGCTTGGAATTAAAAGGACCGGCGGCGGCTCACGGCCCGCTCACGGGCAGCAGAAGTCAGCCCGCAGCGATTGAATTGAAAAATAATCTCTGCCCGCAGCGCTGCTGACGAAGAGCCGTTTGAGACGTCACCGAGTCCCTTTGGCGTGTCAGATACGCATCAGGATATCGCCTCGCTCGGCGCGCACGGGCCGCCGCGCCGTCTCTACCCTCTTCTTGTGCGTGTGCGTGCGTTTGTGTGCAGCCCGGTCGGGTTTGAAAACAAGACTGAAAACAGCAGCGACAGGAGGAGGAGAAGGAGGAGGGTCGCAAATCAAGTTGAAAACTGCCTTTACTTTTCGTGCTTTGTTTTGCGCTAAATATTTTAGTAATGGTCCGAAATGCGTGTGTGCTGCGTCGTGTCCGCTCGGATGGAGATGTTGCTAGTGGGCGCTCGTCGGAGTACTCGTGGTCACGTGGTCGGGGCACCCGGAGCCCAGCGCCCGCGCAGCCGGCACGCCCGGCATAGGCGGTACTTGGAGGCCACAATGGTGTGGGGCGAGCAGCAGGAGTGCAACAGTGCGCTCGCCTCATTGTTCGGCTCAGGCCATTACACCTTTACATCGGCACAGGTTACTTTTACGGACACCCGGGTTACAGTTCGGACCGTGTAATAAAGTCGGACGGTCGGAGTGAGAGAGCGAGAGAAAGAGACCGAAAGAGAGATGCCGAAAATGCCTGGCCGGACTGCGCGGCTTGGCTGCTGGGGGGGGATTATCATCATCGGGGCTTCTCTCCGCCCTTCCATCAGCCGAAGCAGATAACGCGACCATTAAAGCAGGGTGCAAAATATAATCTGCGCGCGGGGTAGGCCGCGACGCTGTAAACCCGTCCAGGGACGTCCAGGGACTTTAATTGTGGACCTCTCCGCTAAAGTACTCAAACCGGATTAAATTTCGCAAGGAGCCGAACTTGATAGTCTATCTCCTTAAGTGTGTGTGAGTGTGTGTGTGTGTGTGTGTGTATTTCCCCCTGCAGGGGGGTCCCGCAGATGTACTCCTGGCAGGCGGCCATGCAGCCAAGTGCAGAGCTGAGCCCCCATACGATGATGTCCGTAGTCAATTCACTCCGGGCGGGAGGGAGATTCCGGCGGAGAAGAATAATGTTATGCGCGTGGTCCCCACACCGTGGTGCAGCGCAGTGCATGGTGCTGCAGCATCAAGAGCCCCATCTAACAGGTCCCGTCCGGCGGCCGGCCGTGCGAACGCGGGGAGCGCAGCGGAGCGGTCTAATTCGACGCTCGTTTGTAGATTGTCACCCCGGCCTGTCCGGTTGGCAGGCGTGCCTCCGCATGCAGACGTGTTATTAAGTTGTTCGTCTTCATTACCCGGCTGGCAGCGACGGTCCGACCGGCAACAACAATGGCCGCCGCCAAAGCGGGAGATTTGAACGCACGGCGCAGCGAGACCGCCCTGCAAATAATGTCATTAAAGGGGGGGGGGGATTATTCACCCTGCATCGGGTAATTAAAACGTTGCGCGAAAATACCTTTTGGAGTGGTCCGTTGGCTGATGCGCGTATGAACGTCTTGCTCCATCCTTGTCGCTCATGAGCGGGAGTGAGAAAGAGAGAGAGAGAGAGAGAGGCTGACGCGGGAGGGGCCGGCAGACTTATGAGAGGGGCCGGTGGGGCGGTAGAGGGGTCCCGGAGGAAGGTTAGTCGGCCATATTGGAGCCCCTCCCCCCTTCCTCCCCCTCCCGCTCCGCCCCCTAACTACATTATTATTCAATATAATGGCTGAGTGCCCGGCGGGGCGTTCGACTACCACCTGGCTGGCGGGGTGCGTCCGAAGAGGGGCACCTTTTTCCTCCCTCGTCTCGCAAGCGAGAGAGAGAGAGAGAGAGCAGGCCCAAGTGGTTCCTGTCCGGACGCAGACCCCCAGGGGGGGCCTGGGGATCTGATTCCCCCCGCGGTTCGCATATCAGAGTCACTGCTGCTGCTGTCTTCGTCGAAATCGGCTGGTTTATCTTTATCCGCCTCGAATGGTTCGAGTTCGAGAGTGAGGCGCCTCATCTCGTGGACTTTGAACGTTGCCGCCTCGTTGACGACCCCAGCAAAACGGTGCATCCACCCCGTATCCTCCGGATAGGAAGACTGGCGCGGCATGACTTATCATAAGCACGAGGATGGTTGCATTTTATCCTTCGATATGACATGAATTTTATTAGAAGAAAATTAATTTAAAACAATCCACCTATTTCTTTATTTCTCAGGCATAACATAACATACGATTTTCAGGTAGAAGGCGGCCCGAGCGGATGCGATTCGCCGTGATTGCCTTTCGTTCCACGTGGAAACGAAAACCACCCACCGCCTTTGGCCGTACTTTTAATGTGCGATGTGCGTTGCCGCTGTAAGGCCTACAGGCAGCGGAGTTCGGGCACTTTTTTACCCGGGCATAGCG